TACATTTACTTACAGCAAATATGCCCCTGGGTGCATTTTTTTGGTCCGAAGACTGTTTTTTAAGAAGTACATACCCAAAGTTGAGTAAAAAACCTTTAAAAAGTGACTTTTGCAGAACAGGTCCCCTTTAAGGATAACACTGTTCTTCATATTCATATAAATTATTAAAGCCCAAATGAAGTGTTAATAGTAGGGTACGACTTTGTGTCTGCATTCTTGTTTAAAGTCTTTTAAAATGGACTTTTACTGATATACGTAGTTGCGAAACTACAGCCATTCCATCCCTGTTATATCGACATGCGACTGCATGTCGGCTCATTAAGGCCTTCAGAAGAGGATGTGGGCTTAAAACGCCTTCATCTAAAAGACTCACAGCAGCAATAAGCCTCGACGGATTCACAGCATGTTAATCAATAAGGCTCTGATGTTTCTCGGAGATTCTCAGATGAGGGAAATCTTCGCCTTCTTCTTTTTTTCTTCTTTAGGTCATTCGTGACTTCTAGTCTTTCCTCTCATGGCAGGCCGCCATCCCTCTTGACAGCTGTCCAGCGAAACAAGCATCAATCTTCACCTAAAGCCTGCGATTAACTTTTTTTTTTTTTTTTACCACTTCACACCCCCTCTCTTTGTCCCTTGTTTTCTACTGTCTGTTTATTCTGTTGTCTTCTCACTTTGTCTTTCACCTTCACTTTTATTCACAAACTCTTCAGCACTTTCTGTTATTCGAAAATCAATCATTTCTTTGTTCTTTCATCTGGCAAAGTGAMTCTTTTTTGTTTTTTATTATCACTTGCTGAAAGAGAAAAAGCTGGTGGTAAAGTTTCTACCCATGACTGTGTGTGTTTTGTGTCTTTTACCAAAACATCTCAAAAAGCACCGGATGAATTTTAAWGAAACTGCAGAAAGTAATAATTGGCCTGATTTAAGTTTTTTGAGCTTATCCTGATTCAAGATAGCTGCCACAGCCAGCTGATTAAAAAAATGCCATAATGTATTTAATTAAGTAAATCTTACAGATATTGACCTAAAATAGAAATAATACTGTAGCAGTCTTCTCAACACATCACTCTGAGTGACACCTTGTGATATCATAAGAGATAGCACAAAACATTTTCAAGGTTTGACCAAAATGGCTACAACTCCGTCATTTCTGAAGGTGGTATTAGCCTAACATTTTGGGATGACAGGATGCTGGCGATGTCTTTTTTTTTTTTTTCAGAAAATGCAGATATTTCAGCATCTGGAACATTTAGGTGCCCTGTGTAAAATGCATGTGTAAGACATTTCATCCCTCCTCAATCTGTCCTGCAGGAGGAGTTGCGGGAGCTGAGGCAGCATCCCATCGACCCCCAAGCAGAGCAGGAGATCATCAACAGCATCGAGGAGATCTACTTCTCCGGCGACTCCTTCGACATGGTGCAACATGAACTGGAGGTCAGAGCTCGTGTTACTGCGTGCCTCTCACTTTTAAAACGCCAGGGACTTGCTCCTAAGTTCCCACGCCCCGCCACTATAAAACTGATTGCATCAAACTCACCGCTTTTCACTGACTTTGATAAGGAGCGCGCTGCATCTTAAATGTGAATAAATATGGTTTGTTGCTCATTGAGCCCCGTCTGACTGGCAGGAATAAAGCTCTTTCTCACCTGAGCTGCCGTCTCTTACACTTCTACTGAGCTGCATGCATATCATTGAGGTCTGGATTGATGGATTGCGTCTGCTCAACACAAGAAAGGTGTGAAATCTCATTAGATTTATCTTGGTATTGCTACACCATCTGAAATGAGACTCTCAGTCAAGAGGAAAGTAATTACCTATCATCCTTTGGGCCATGGATTCGTAATATCTTCTTTCTCTTGCAGAGTTTGTTTGCTGTTTACTAAATAGGATCCTCTACAGTGTTTCCCCTACCATTATAC